AGAACTACAGTATTTCACCGCATAAAGTACCTCCCCTGTAGAAAATTTAAACCTAAATCTCAAAGCTATTAATTTAGTAACAAAATTTGTTGAAGAAATTGCAACGTGGATTTTGTTTTATTCATTTTGCAGACAAAATAATTGGTTTTACTAGAAAAAATCCGACTAAACTAAGATTTAGATCTTCTACAGGAGAGAATACTTTATGCGGTGGAATACGGTATACGTATATCGATATATTATTAATTGATGATCTGCGATTAAAGTTCGACGGAACTCCAATAAGTAAACTATTAATAAAAATCATGTGACTGGAATGCCAAAATTTACTTAGAAAAAATTTGTAAAATGGCTAATTAATCAGATAATTTTTATTCATTTATTTATTATCATTAATAATTTCCGAAATTATTCAATTAAATAATTACACTTAGAAGTTTAACTTGGGAACAATGCCCTTCCAGAATTGTTATTAAATCCCATCATAATTAATTATAAAGTCAGAAATTTAATATCACTCATTTGCGGATCACCAAATAAAGTATTAAAAGATGAATAAATCGACAAAAATATTCTTTAATATAATTATGCTATTAGAATATGACTAACATTATGATTCCAAAGGGAATTCTAATTATTTATAATATATAAATCAAAGTAATAAAATATAATAAATCATAATAATATAATATATTTTAAATTTATATTATAATATATAAGTACTTTTATAGGAGTTTATTTTTTTTGCTGTTTTAGTCCGTGTTTATTATTTGGAGTTTGCATTTGTTAGCGTTAGTATTATATTCATATGTGGTACTGAAATCTGATAGCATAATAATTAGAAATACACAATAAAAAGTAGAAAATAAATAAAATAATAAAGTAGAAAATAAAGTATAAAGTAGAACAAAGAAATAAAATAGAAAATAAGCGCACGCCCGTGCCAGGTTTTGTCAATCCCTACTGTAATGTTAAAGATTGATTTTAGGATAAAGGTCAGGTTAGAGTGGAGGTCAAGGTTATATGTAAAATTGCCTCACCAACATTTTTAATTAGTGTGCCAAGCTAGATTTAGGTGTCTGCTTCCCGTATTTTTTACATTTTTTGCTTTTTTCATTTCTTGTAACGGATTTGTTTTGCCAGGCTGATCAAAAATTTTCGCATCTTTATTGGTTGCTGTGTCGACAAACCTAGGACGTGCAGACATTGCAAGGTGATGCATGATTTTGCTTTGCTACTGCTGATACTGCTATTTGTTGATTGTTTGCCCACGGTCCACCACAACAAAATAAAACATGCACATATTTACGTTATGTACCCCACAAAAATTTGATTGTGCAAGCACATCAAAGGGATTTACCGGATATTTTCTGTCTTATCTTTGATACACAAATATCTGGCTATGAAATTAAAAATAAAAATAAAAAAATTTTGTGGTCACATTATTATGAAATAAGTGTATTCTATTTCTATTTCTATTTGATATTTATATTTATATTTGATATTTTATGTCAAATACATTCTCATGGGTATACAAGCAAAACTTGATATAATAAGCTCTCAATACAATAATGATATCTTTATAAAATGTTAATGAAGAATCTCTCGATATACGACTAGAAAACTCTTTTATATCAAGGGTGAATTGTATCTCTTTAATTGAAACCAAATGTCTCTAATTCATTGTGTTTAATCAAATTTACTTTCTTTTTGTCATTAACGCTAACGTAAGCAAAATAAAAGTGATTTTATTGGTTCAAATTTACAAAAAAAATTTACGAACAAACAATAACGATCACAATAATCTCATCCATTATACTACTATGAACAAATTTCGACAAATCTAGAAAAGATGTCCAAATTATTAATTAAATGTTGAGGGCGTCCGGGGTGCATAATATTAATTTATTTAGACGAATTTGTTTGCATCGGTTAAAAGTGAAAGTGTCCACTATTATTACTTCTTTTGTACGTTAAGAAAAAATTTTTCCCAACCAAGACGGAATTTCCGCACAGCATAGATGATAAGGAAATCATTCGATATTCCATAGTGAATATAATAATTGCTTTGCTTTCGTAAACAACAGTTACGGTTAGGCTATAAATTTGTTATAATAAATCAGACCTTAACCTATAACAGCTCGTGTTCAACGGCAAAGTATTTCATTGGATTATTATATGGTCGTTGTATAGGAACAAATCATATGATCAGATTAATGTGACAAATCAAGATTTACAGCATGCATACCCTTGAAATAAATACTATTGTTCTCGTTCTTCAATGACCAAAAACGACCAACATGCATGGCTGTGCTATCACACTTTGAATGACATTATCGTTATGTACCAATTAAATTAAATCATTAGGCGGAAAAATAATAAAAATAATAAAAATACGTAGGCGGAAAATGCGCCTAGAGTACGTATATGAATATGATTCGGGATCAGAATAAAGTAGGAAACGCTAAAACATTTCCATTTTTATTTATGAATATTATTACATCATGGCAATTTTAGGATTGTTTAATCATAACGATAGTGATAACGATAACTTTTTTTATTACTGCATTTGCGAAAATTAATTAGTCAAAGTAATACGTATATACGTACATGTATTGTTGGTTATAATAGATCAAATACTTTGTATATATGAACTTTAATTTCGATTTCTTAATTCCTAATCTCAACTTAATCTCATAGAACCTAAAATTGACATAAATAACAATGAATGAATACATGGATATGTAAAATAACTATCTACATTACCATCTGCGAGTGATCACTTTTTCTCGGGTGTGCCTGGTTTTTTTGTGTTTACTGTGATATTCATACCCGTTCGGGTTTCAAGCAGACGTGAAAAATAGCTTATTTATGCTCTTATTATTATGATTCTCTTCACTTTTCGCCGTATTACTCGAACCTAAATTGTGAATAACAAAATACAAAAGCGCAATCATGAAAACGGGCATTAGAATTTGTGTCGCTGTCGCACATCTAACTGAAGTGGAATCTGAATTAGACACACGCACAGAGAAGAGAGAGAAGACACCTATTGTTCTTTTTTTTTTGTCGAGATTTCTTTTTTTAGAGCACTCACATACATAAACATAAACAATATATGAATGAATGGAAGAATGTAAACGGAAAAGATAATTTATGAACCAAGGCATTTTTAGTTTATTAATTTATATTGAGCGTAACATTAGACACAAAAAAGCATTATCATTCTAATCATTAAAACACAAAATGAGTTCGTTAAGCCTAAACTTATTAGCATGTGTTTATGTTGTTGTTGTTGTTGCTTGTTTCGCAAAGAATCACCTCCGAAATACACTACGTCACATTTCGCGTTCGTTAGAAAATTTTGTAATCCCTTTTTCGATTTGACAGATTTTCTGGTAGGTTACATTCTTGTTTTTAGACCTGTATTTTTTTATCACTGCCATTCTAAAGTCTCTTGGTATTGAAAAAGTAATAAACAAACAAATAGGCAAACTCCTTGTTTCAAAAATCATTAATGGAAAAAATTTAAAAAACCTATCTTTGTATTCCGAGATAGTGTAGTGTGGCGTGAGAATGATTATAGACAGCAACATGGTATTTTGATACGCGTTAGATTGTTATTAAACAAACCCAGAATACTGGTGCGAAGAATTTACCCTATCATTATTTATTTGCTAAGATATTTATTTATTAAAATATTTATTTGAATCCTTATTATTATTTGTTATTTTTTTATTATGAAATTTCATTAAAAAGGAAATTATTAATAGAATTATTGCTTACGCGTAGTGGTCATAGTAATCATTTATCAACGACCCAGATAAATAAAAAACGGGTATTTCCGCTAATCATTAATGACCAATGGACATGAATAAATACAAAAAAACAGGGTTAGAATCAAGTAAAAAAAAAACTCGAGTTTTTCTATATATCATGCAACTTTGCCACATGAATGAAACAGGTAATTCAGCCAATCAGAATATATTCAAGAAAATTTTAGCATTGAACTCACAAATGTAATGTGATCTTTTACGTACACTGAAACAGACAACCAGGAGTATGGAGCGTTCTTAATAATATGTGTTTCCCTACTGCATATATGAAAGGTCATTATTTATACCATGTAAATTTTAAATGATCCATATATGCTTCGTCTATCCTAAAATTCGTCATTGATTGCTCAAAACAAATAAATTTAGGTTTCTTATTCATTTTCATAAATCAGAGCCAGTTTTGATTTATCTGTGCGCACCTATGACATGTCTACTTTTAGCGGGTTGGTTCGAGTTTCTTATATTCACCTAAATAGTGTTTAGGTTTGATGCTCGGTTGTCTTTATGAATGCTGTTCTGTTAAGTTTCTTGCCGAAACTAAGTCTGTGTTTTTAGATGCGTTATCTGTCGGACTTCGGTCAGAACGAATAATAATAATAATAATGATAGTGACTCCATTTACCTCAAGCTAATTGACACTGTTTTTTCCACATTTATGCAAAACGATTTCACAAGCACAAAATACACGAGATGCGCAACTACTTTATGTGACAGCGTAGATTAAAATGAAAAAGGGTTAAACAATTTGTGACTTTTTTGGTGACAATTATTTATATACCCTACTAGATTTCATTTTTATCCAACATACATTTTGAGCGGAGTTGGATGTTTTTTTCCGTCTATGATTTATATATATCCATTGTACTTACATGCAACAATGATGTCATTTAGGATCGCATGGATATGTATATATATATGACAAGTTATTGGTCTGGATCGGATTGAATTGAACTTAAAGTGGATTAGATTCGAGTTTATATATAGCTTTTTTTCGCACTTTAAAGCTCGACCTGTAAAGCACTTGCGTCTTTGTGTGAAATAGATAATAAAAGTCCACTAATCTCGTGAAAGATGTAACATTGCCAAGAGTTGCAAATGCATGTTACTTGTTTATTGATTCGAACTTAAAATCAACGTTATAAAATATGGCCAAGAAATCGGCAGCTAACATAAAAGTGTTGGTCCAGACCAAAAGTCTCTATATATACTCCGTTATAACGATGACTAATTAAGCTCTCGATACAACGATGACAGCAATTTTCCTTGGCAGAATTTCTTACTGATCATCCCAATCATGTGATATGTCAACAACATTACTATCATGAACTGAGAGAAACGGATTTGCTGTAATTATTATTTTTTTTACGGCAAGTTTACTTTGCGGCACGAAGCTAATAATAAATTCAACAACAATGGTTTATTGGCATATTTAAAATTGGCTTAGTAAAGTCAGTAACGATACTGTAGTACAGATAAAGTGTTGATTTGTTGCTAGTTCATTAGTGTTAGCATTAGCGTTAGGTCCTGGAATTAATAAAGCAGACAATCACGTGCGAGTATGAGGTTTTTTTTAAACAATAAGATAATTTTATTTTGATTTATCAACTTTGTACAAACACACGAGACGCGAATTTAAAAAAAGCCAAAAATAAAGACTGACTAATGAGCTTATTGAAATTTTTTTTGAATGTTGTGCCAAGTTTTATGAGTAGTATGTCTATGTATGTTTCTATGTGTATGTACAAATTTGAACATTATTTTTTCGAAAGAAATGACGACGAATGACGACATGGGAAAAGAAAGAGCTAACTTAAAGTATTGATAAAATAGTAAAAATAATAAAATAAAATAATATAATGAGAAATGAATAATATAAAATGGATAAAAACGGATAAAAATAAAAATAAAAATAAAAATAAAATTGACAATTGATTGTTGTTGCTATTGGACCAAGATCATATATTCATTTTTTTTTCTATAATTCTAGCTGTTTAGTTGTTGTTTAATTGTGTTGTCAGCGTGATTCCATAGGATTAGAGACGGGCTTGTTTGCTTAAGAAGTTGTTATTTAAATCGCTTAAAACTAATGCCATATAATAAGTGGTGGTGACCGTGAGAACCACCTTCATATTTTCTATCGTAGGTAGCCGAAGTTAATCATAATTTTCCAGCACGATCGATTCTATTAATAACTGGGTACATCAGGTGCCAAGGCTATTTTTGACAATGTGCTTCCACGCCTCTTTTGGATTAGCTCGTCAAAGGCGGACATCTTCGCCTCATATTCCTTCTTCTTTGCCGCATGTAGTCGCTGTCGTCCATTATCATGTATATTGGAATATGAGTACCTACGATGTACCGAACTAGTCATGGACAACTTGGTATTCTCGTCGGAATCAGATTCCGATGGTGAAGACGACGAGGTTGAAGAAGTTGACGATATTGAGCTTGAACTACTTGGCGAAGCCGGCATCTTATACCAATTTGTAGTAGTATAATAAAACTCACTACTCATTATATTATAATTATTATAATTATTATTATTATTATTATTACTATTATTATGATTATTATGATTATTATGATTATTATGATTATTATGATTATTATGATTATTATGGTGATGATGATGATGGTGATGATGATGATTATTATCATCTCTATCATAAAAAGGTTTCCACTCTTGACATTGTTGTGTCGTGGATGACCTCTTTCCTAAAGACTTGAGAAATCCCATTATATTAATGATAATTATTAGGTGTGATTAAATTAAATTAAGTAATAGTATAAATATATGGCGTTAAAAAAGAAGTAAGGAAGGATGAAAATGATGGAAGAATATTATTAACTTTCGAAAAAGTTTGTGGGTGAGACCCAACGAAGAGGCGACGACGATGACAAAAATGAGAAGAGAGATGATGTTATGAAATCTCTTGTTGTTGTTAATAATTTTTTTTTGACTCGAGTGTTGGATTTATACGAATTTTGAATATACATAATAATGAACTTTGTTGTGTATATATGTATAATATAAATATATATACATACATATACATATTGTATTGATATTATATAGATACATTAATACATATATATCTATATATAAATAAAAATTTTCTTTATTTATATTTTATAATTATAATTATAATAACGATAACAATAATAATCATACATAATAATATAACAACTACAAAGAGGGTAAGGGGTTTTTTGATATTATCGTTATATTCTATTATAAAGGGGACACAGCCATCCGTACAACCAGTAAAAAAAAATTTTTTTTATTATTACACCAATCAATGTGATATGTACATGTGTATATAAAAAACAAAAGCGAACAGTATGAATGATGCCAATGATTCCAGTTTTCTCATTATCCAACTATCGAAGTAATAATTTTTTTTAAGATTATTAAATAAATTAATTTGTTTGTATGCTATAATCCAAAAAGGTATTGTTAGAATCCAGTAAAAAATTATTCCGATTCGTTCAATTGCCATGGAGCATTCATTCCTCATTTTACCGGGATCCAGTATTGCATTCATGAAAAATATTCGGCGGTGATACTAATGACAACAATATACTTGATTGTCTTTTCTTTTTGGGGGCTCACACATCTAGTCGCTAGTTGGTTGGTCACTGAATCGACGACGACGTGTTTTTATGACATTATTCTGTCTAGGAAATTAATTGTTTGTTTTTTACTACCACGTGAGCATCTCGAATAATTAATTATGATTTGTTTGCGTAGCATGCTAATTTCTAACGATAAAATAAAGAATGAACTTGACGTAATGATAGAAAGGACCCAACATGACAGCGATTAACGTAAGGACAGAAAGGACAGCAATCACATTATTACATCATCATTACAGGGATTCTGAAACACCCTCTTCTTCCCACTCCATCTTTAATTATTCATTCAAGAAAATACACTTTTTTCTCATATTAAACGTCCAAATAAGGAGATATGATAATAGTCTCATCGCACAAACGCACATACAAACAAATAACGATTCACCAGTGAATAGATGGTTCGTTTTGTCCAGCCCGTAATCATTTATCTATATATTGAATGTGCATTTGATTGATGCATTTAATACATACGCAGTAGCAAGCCGTTTTTCCGAACATTCATAGTCGCTCCCCGATTTCACTTACGTATTTATAAAACAGAATTAGCTGACCTATGTTTCCTAATTCTCTCGCATATTCATGTAAATAGTAACCTAGATTTTCGGTACAATTGATTATACTAAACTCCATCCGACTTAATGAATAAATAAGATTCACGTACCTCTTTTAAGTATGAAATTTACCATAAAAGTACATGTATGATAGCGATATCTATAAATGAAATGGCATCCAATGCGTAATAGCCGAATGAGTGACAAAATTTCTGTGGCAATTTCAGCCACAATTGTGTTCACATATGAACTAATGATATCGTAGGATTTTACTACTAATAAAAAAAAGATAGCTTAATTGCCATACCTAAGTAAATCCCCATTGTTCAAACTACTAATTATCCGACTGTTCGCTACACCACAAGACTTGTAGAATTTAGCCAACCCAATTAAAAAGAGAGTACACTAAACCACGTTTCGAACATTGTATCGCGTTGTTTGTTGTGGGGGTAATTTGTTTTTTTTTGTGTATTACATTGTGGTGATTGATGGCGTAGTATAACAATAGAATAGATTGTTATTAATATTAATCGTGGTGGATAGATCATGTGAAGATAATATAATGAAGTCGATGAAGTTTAGCGTATTATCTTCGACGAGACAATAATAATAATATTCAGTTGAATATACACGTATCTAACAGACACGTTATAAACATCCTTCTACTTGAATGGGACACACACTGAGTCAAAATAATCATCAATATATACAAATAAATTATCATAAAATAAAATAAAGTAATGAACTCGTGGAGGGGAAGGGCGTGTCTGCAAGGAGATATTTGGTAAGACACCTTTGGAATGTTTCTCGATGTATATACATATATATATATATATCTCTATATCTATATCTATATACACATATATGTATGTATGTATGTATGTATGTATACATCATTTCTCATTGTGCTAGAAAAAAAAGATAAATAATGGATTCGACAACCGAAAGAAAACCCAAATTAAATTCAAACCAATAAAAGAAGACACGCGCAAAATGAAGCAGCTTTGTGTATGCACTCGTGGAAACAATGTAAAAATTCGGAAATTGTCATAAGTCAATTCAATTCACACTCACCAATTAACTAACAGTCTCGTTGTCTTGAATGAAGAACAATGATGTCATTTTTTTGTGATTGATCAACTCGAGGATTTTGACAGTTTTTTATATTGGCGTTAGTGTTTATTTGAGCGTGTAACCCTTAAATAAAATATCTCGTGAAGAGGAATTATGAACATAAACGACCGAAGTGAAAAAATTTTATTCAGCTGACTTCCACATTATTTCCCCTTAAAAAATATATGATAAAATTTCAATGTCATACACTAGAAGAATGCAACCCGCGCATCACATACATAGCCTATTGTTTATGAAACTACGCGCCGCAATAATTTGATAAGTTAGATTCGGAAAAGCTATATGATTCAATAAACAACAATAACGATAAATTCCCATTTATGGCATAACAATTAACAAATAATAAGAATCAGAAGCAAGATTATGCTGGTGACGATATGATGACGACTTGTTATGTACAAACTATGTAGTTAAGAAATGGAAATTTTTGGCGGAGTATTCTTTTTTTATGTTATTATCATTATTCTCGGAAATATTAGACGTGTTATGGCCTTTCTTGACTACGCTGCAAGGAGAGAAGTATGAAAATATTCCCACATAAATACGTAAATACATAACAGATAATAAATATACCGATACATACACACACATATACATGCATTAATACCACCCTGAAGAAATTTTTCCTTGCCAAAACCTATCTCAAATGCCGAAACTTTTACATCTCTTACATTAACAGAGGTTTCGGCAGGCAGGCAGGCAATTCTCGAGAAACAAACATTTTTTTGATCGTGTTACAAGCGTTTTGTGTATATGCGTGATCTAAAGATATCACATTACGCGCGTTTTTATTTATTTACCTTTACAGATAACGATTGGCTACTCAGAAATCAACACAGCCTCTCACTCATTAATATGCATGCTAGGTTATAAGAATATGCAAGCAAAAGTCAGGATTCTTATTAACTTTGATTCTTCTCCATCTTTTTTATCCTTCCTTCCTCCGCGGCTTTTTACCCGTATCAATTGATACGTTTGTTTTCTGTGTGATGTGATGTTGTCTGTATATCTTAATAAAATAAATAAATAAATAGTTGATCGAGGATTCGAATGCTTTTTGTGCGTCTATGTTTAGAGATACTCTTTTTCTTGAAGGCAAACAAATATGATTTTCATTGCCACGTTTTTGCATTCAATCTTGTATTCAATTCACGGTTGCTTCATCTTTAGTTACGTGTGGCAACCAAAATCTACATACCAATGCGGAATAAGATGAGATCTTAATTTCGCATTTGACAATTCATCAATCTTGAAACCATGATCAAATCAGAAATCGCGTTCTAGAAAGTTTGTGAAATTGCCAAGTTTGGCCATAAATGCCATATATCGATATCAGAAAATAGAACCCCGCATAAATGAATAAGTAAATAAACAACTATAGTGTTTACTTTTCTTGATATCGATATTAAGAGTACATATTGTTTACGTTATATACGTAATTATTAGATAATTAAATTTACGAATTGCAGTTATTACAAATGCAAATCTTTCGGTTGCGCAACCAAAACTTAGTACATACCGATACATAATTTGTATAATACACAATGGTGCAAAAACTCCTTTTCAATCATAATGAAAATTAATAATAAATATTTGTTGTTTCAATGAAAAAGAACTCATTAATCATTATGATGCTTTGAAACGCAATGGTTTCGTGTTTTTGTTCCGGTTTATTCAATGATTGATTCTATCGACGACAGATTATCAAATTTGAATTCATATTTAAGAAACAACAAAGGAAAATTTAAAATAAAAAACTTATTTGGTTTGAATCAACCAATGTAGCCACTTTTTTTTTTTTTTTTTTTTAGCTATAACATAACAAAAATACACATAAGGAAAGGCTACGAGCAGAAAGCTTTGCATTTAAAATGCATTTATTAGTTTTCTAGATTGAACGATGAGATATTACGAGTAATACAAATAACTGTGAGGCAATTCAGTATAGCCTGAGCCAATAGCGTACCCCTTATCCATACCAAATAACGCTTTTGTAACCATACAATACTATACTCGATAGTGTAACACTCAGTACGGATCCAGGGTAGAGGTTAACTTGGTAAAAAGGTTCCATACTAATATGTATACCCATGGATTATGTTCAAGATGACTTGCATGAAAATCCCTCGGCCCGAAAAATGGATTTCGTGTAACGAGATTCTCCTTAAAAATTTTTTGACGTTGTATAAGGTCTCACTTGCATTGATCGCTCAGAATCGGGCACTCATGATTGGTTTCATTTCTTTAAAATGAGGTATACAGCGAATATTTTGTTTTTCCTTGCCATTTACGTTTTTTATGATATAATGATGACGCTTATTAAACTTTTGGTTTGACATGTGAGAGGTTGTGAAATCATAGAGATCAATCATGGTTACTAAAATACGTAATAAGTAGTTGGGGTTTTGTTGCCATAACAAATTGAATCTTATGCTTGTATGTATGCTTGATAATATAAGCATGGAATACATAAAACAAAATATTCAAGTAAAACTCGAATCACGTTTGACAGCTTTCTACGATTAGGTTTAGAAACTTTATGATAAATCTTATCTCTTGTGCACCTATTTTATCAACAACTCGTGGGATTAGTAAATGCATGCGGGATTGGGAGAAATTTCTATTGAATCCACTATAATGTACTTTATGCATTTTAAACTTTATCGTGTTTTCTGTCGTCTCTTGTGTCCTGAGAATATTTTATTTCATCGGTTGCATTAAACCTTGACAAAAAACTCACTCGGAGCTGGCATAGATCCAGAACAATGTTTTTAAATGCATTTAAACTACCAAATGAACTCTGTAATCAGATTTTTGGAAATTATCATTTTAATCGATTACTGTAACTTCCGATATAAGCAACCCTTTTTAGACCCGATTCGAAGGATTACTTATTTGTGGAACATTAAATCAACTAAATATATTAAGAGGTTGCTTGTGTATCTATTCATTTGAAATCTCGGCTTAATAATACCGGTGATTTGCCGATAAAAAACTTTAAGGTTTTTAACAGAGACAGATCCATTAATCTTGACAAAGAGTGTTAAATCTAATAAAGAAAAATCCAAGTAATAATTAATATATAGCTTCTATCATAATTTTTGTCAAATCCACGAATTTGAACAATAATTTTTTTTAGTTTAGTCTAGATTAAAAGTTTGTAAAATACTGTATTAGGAAATTGCTTTGCTTCCATAAATGTTGGATCCACATACTTCCGAAATAAGACATCCTTAATCGTAATACGTATGATAAAAAGAAAAATAATTAAGAAAGAACTACGTATATAGCGAAAATAAATACAATGACGCCCAAAAGTTCTGGAGCACAAAAGGTTTTACGAGAAATTCTAGCACCTCTAACATTGATTTAATGCCCCTGGTTTCTATACTCGTTTTAAAGCTAATAAATAATTGTTGAAAATATTATTTCGAGTTTAGGAAAATTAACTGACTTAAATGAATTTTTAATTAACTCCAAATATTTTATTCCCCCCCCCCCCCTTTAATAAAAAATGTACGTAATCCTCTATTAACCTTATTGTCCATTGAAATACAAGTTTCCGAATGTCAACGTTACACATGTAAAAAAATAGTCGAATTAATTTACTGATTGAAATTTCAACATTCGGAACTCCATTTTAGCTAACAATTGGTATGTAGCAGTAGATAGTGTTTATAGAGATAATCATTAATTAAAAAAATTCATGTAGGTCATTTAATTTTCCTAAAATTGAATACCGTAATACCGTAAAACTGCCGTGAAGAAGCATCACTTTTTGGGTTCTAATAAATGGGGTGGTGCTCGTTTCTGGATATTTCCTCACAATTTAAAACTATCGTCATTTAAAGTGATTTTAGATATATTTTTGTAATTTAAATTTAGTGGTGCTTATTCACAGCAGTTTACGGTAATAATATTTTCTATATATATTTTAAAAATTCTCCAGGCTATTAGTTCTAAATCGCGTGTAGAAACCAGGGGTATTAAATCGATGTTAGAGGCGCTAGAATTTTTTCTCGTAAAACTTTTCGTGATCCAGAAATCTTGAGCACCACCACTGTATACTGTATGTAATATATACATGTGACGAATTAAGAAAATCACCAAAAAAGGACAATATCACGGGCTGCTTAATTTAGGTATCCTCCCCGATAGAAAATTTAATTCAAGATACACAGTGCAATTTCGTCAGAAATTGCTAAGAGATTCAAATTAAGTTGCAAGATTTTTATAGGGAGGGTGTTTTAATAGAATGTCAAAATCTGGACTTAAATATTGATACTAGTTATGCCAAAATTATCTCAGTATTTTTGGCTGAAATTCTAGTGTTAGTTCACAGAGAGAAGTTTATTTAAAGGAAAAATTATTTAGTAATTATACGAAAAATCCGGTATTGATCTATGTGAAGTGGCGAAATAGTCCTGGTATCTGCACCTTTATTTTTTGAGAAATTATTTAATATTTTAATAAACTTTCGAGAATTAGCATAATGCCACTTAAATCTGAAAATTAAATATGATAAATTGATGTTAAGTAAATCCTCGAGTTAATCCAAGAATAAGAAATAATCGATCTCGAATTTATTTTGTTTACCAGACAGACATTTATTGAATTCTAAACAAGTGTCCGTATCGGTATATTTTTGACGACCATCTGTTTTCAGGCTTGTATTACCTAATAGAACTCGAGTATGTGGATTTTCTTTGAGAGACAGTTTACAGAATCCAAATCTGGCACAAAGATCAGACAAATTACATTCTATGATGATTCTAAATCTAGACATCTAAGAAAGAGAATTTTAAATATGCTTTTGTAATCAAATGACCTATGTTAATTGAATTACATTTGGTAAGCATTATTATAATGTAAGAAGATAGTGGCGATACAAAACTGAGAAAAATAATCGAGTCGAAAAGCTTTACCCGAAAATAGCCAAACTTAATTTCTTGGCTAATTCGAACTTTTTAGTGTGATTGACATTGATGATAAAAAAGAAAAAATTTTCAGCTTACTAGGTTTTCTTGATATTTAAATTAAGGTAACTTCCATAAATGACTTGTATCTCCGAATATATGAGAAAATAAACTTCGGACCTCATTTGTTTGAAACGATTTAGGTGCAAATAGACACAAAAATAAATTCGAACTAAGGTCCAAATATTAAAGAAAAAACAGCCGCGATGCTTTATTAGTATATTAATCTTTACTGGTTCATTCTGCTTATTAAAAAGTAACGGACATCATGCAAATTAACGATTTGCCGGCCGGCATCAATTTTACTCGGAGGTCAAAAAACAATGAATCACATAATCACTTCTTTTTTCTACATAAGATTCTTCTAAATGTCTCGAGACACTTCATTCTTTTTGCGTGAATCTTTATTATAAGATTTTGAATTCATTTATTTTTAATCACATGAATGCCAATCACATGAAATGCAATTACATTAAGAAAAATCCGAGTCATCTCCGAGCAGGCTTATATATATACATGTACAAGTTTCTTTTTTCAATAAAGACAGCATGTTAAATTTCCAATAGTATAACTGAAAATCTGTATCTTCTCCACATAATCGACACTGCATTTACATACACACGATTTCTTTTCTTTAGGACAGAATTTAAAGGACTGGATCTAAAGGATAAGGATAACGAATATAATAAATAGTACAAGTAATAATAATAACCAGATCCATCCAGGTTTTTTACTCGAGGGATAATTGAACGCCGCCAAACAAATCTGTTGGGAAAATGAAAAATGCAGGTGTCTTCAAAATCTCAATAAATAAATTATGCAAACGCAAATTTTTATTAAACTAGTACTTAGAGTTAGTTTATTTACAATAAATATTGATACCTAATTAAGCATAAAGTTTATATTAATAATTTACTTCAATAGAATGCGACGCTTAGAATTAAAGAACCAATTACATCTTCAGATAGCCAAATTTCAAACAACGAGCTTTCAGCTTTAGACTCGAGCGGTTCGTTCTCTTGAAGGGAGTGAAATCTTAAACAGCGGGAGATCGGCATTTCGAAATACGTGATGCATAAAGAAAATTTTTTTCAATCTTTATGAGCGAGAAATTCAGCTGATAATGATTCGTTCTTTCGTTATTCATTCTCCCAATTGTTCAAATGTCCCATTGTTTTCTGGCGTGTGTATATTTGTGTGTTTGTAACACGCGCGTCGAGTTCCCCCGTTACTCCGTAATATCAATGGCGTTTTGTTTCTCGGTAGCTATTACCATAAAAAGAATTGATCTACTCATTCTTTGTGCATGAGGTGTCAATTTCTCATTGTTTTCGAGTACATGCATTAAAAGCGTTAGGAAAAAGGAGGTTTTTTAAATTTCGTGTCTATTGGATACATCGAAGATTTTGTTATTTGAGTTTTACTTTGGATTTGTGAAAAACTACAGAAACAAAGTTTTACTATTTGCAACCCAAAAATGAGAGCATTATCAAATGAGGCAAGGTATAATGTTACACAGTACATGTATCGATACGTATATCTTCTGGCAAAAGATTACGTATTAAGTTCAACGAACACGGCACAAGGATATTTTGCATGCATCTGCATCTACATCTACATACACATGTAGAATAGAAATTTGACCTTTTTTCTTTCACCTGTCTGTTGTAACACTCGCATCCCATAATTTTTGAGGAACCAGTAGTAAGGTTATGTACCTTCTCACGAACATTCTATTCTGGTCAAATAGTTGTTCAAAGAACAATCGCGATCCTGTTTACTCCGAGTCGATTCATCAATATTGTTGATTGATGTTTGCATTAAAATGTAAAATTAAGTATACATTCGGTAAGTACTTGGAAACTAGGAAAAAACAATCTTTACATATATGGTTTAGTTAATTAAATACATCCAGGAGAATCAAAAGCTTTAAGAAAATGAAAATTCATTTTAGCTTCTTTAATATAAAATCATTCTTTTTTTGATATACCAGAGTAAATACCCGAGTAACTTTTTGAAAGCTTCTCAAATGTACTTGATCTCGAACATCAAACAATATGACAGGTAATAAACTTTTTAAATAAGTTATATTCGATTCATTTCTGTTATTATCTGCATATTATCGATGATAGTAGCTCGGGCTACAATTTCCATAAAAGGCAAAGATCCCGATTTAATAATTTGAAATTTCGAATTACAAATCAAATTTTGCATGTGCATTGTTTCAAAAGTATAAATATTAACATGCTGTTTATCGCATGCTTCTTTTCCGGTTAGATTTGTTTTTGACAGAATCCGAGATCCTTTTCAATATACTTTTTTTCGTTCAGTTTTCCTTAGAAAGTTTAGCTTGGATTTTGACAGCTGTCAAAAGCTTCCTTAGCAAGTTTCTTGTCACTATTAAGGATGAATGGTCGAGAGATCAATAAGTTTACAGAAATTGATACTATTTTGACTCGGGAAAGACTCCTTGATCTTCAATGAACTCATCACTTAGTCAGAATGCTTGAATAAAAACACAATTGTTACCGTTTAATGTTAAACAGAAGAGAACTGATGATGTTACCAAAGAAAATAGAAACCTTAGATCATTTAATTCATCTGCGGAAATGAGTTAATGAGAAAGTGTATTGCAATATCAATCACGATTATGTAACATTTTTCAAAGTTTTGATAATAAAATGACACATTTTAAAATTACAATGACTATGACATAATGTTAAATTACGTAATTTTAATACATTACAGACAGCACTGTTTCTATTTCCCTATTAGCTTCATATGAATAAACATTTTCCATTTTCTTGCAATAATATATGCTTTAAAACAATACATTTACTTCATTTCCTTACAAGCCTCGTTAATATGACATCATTGGACCAGATAATTTTGGTCATACTAACGACTATGCGGGGGAGAGTGTGACTTAACCCCTGTCATATTGAATAAATATAAACCACGTACATGTATTACGTATATAACTTATATAAAAATAATGACATTTAGCATTAATACGATGTCATAATAAATACATGTACTATTGATACAGAGTTTCTTGGTCTATGTCATGCTAACGGGTCTATGACGTGTTGTTTGGATGCGAATGTCAAAGTAACTGATGCCATATCAACGAGGGTAGACTATATGTTTGAAGAGTTATTTTAGCAAATTTAGAATATTCAATAAGATACAAATTTGACATTTAAAAATCACGCGAGTTTGAAAATTTGGCACTCTAGGATCATGTGATTCGATATTTGTGTGATTTGAAAACTTGCCACTCGTTTATTGTGCTCTGTGACTAGACAATTAATTTTATATTACAACTCTATAAAGTGGTATCTTCAATAAAAAATAAATGTAATATATAGGATTTGAATACAAAGCTTTGATCGCAAAATTCCGGTTGTTTCAAGGGGTGAGAAACATTGCGTTTTATGAATCACTGATCTATGAATGTTTCTAAGTTGAGAGATTGCCGATTTCGAAAATTCGCGAAAAGAAGCTTGAAAAGTATATTCATTTAAACCACATAACAAGATAATTGATTGACCATTAAGAGCATTGTATAACTTCTACAATAACAACAATTATAGAAATTGCAAAAAGCGGAAAGAATTTCACTTCGATTATTGGATGGAGAATTCCAAAATAATTTTAGCGCCCGAACCTAAATTTGGACTTATTTTGACCTATTGACTGGATAATTGTATGCTCTTAAAAGGAAAAAATGTGAAATTGATAGAGGGTTCTATTGCACATTCAAGCAAATGTTTTATATAAAACAGGTTTTTTTTTCGTCACATAGTAATAAATAACTTGAATTTCTTGATCCGAGATAAATATAGGATTTATATCGACATTTATACGTACGTATCTGGTAAGCAGGTTACGTATTTCTCAAACTGGTTTTTAATGATGTCATCCACAAAATTTTATAAATCAAATATTAAGTAATATGGAAGCCATACCGAAAATATGTCTTTCATCTTCTAAAATAATGTAAGTGTATGAATGACAGCAAAATATGCGCGGTCCTGTGTCAGATCCGAGTCTACAATATTATTTTTCAAGAAGTCCCTCTTTTTCAGGGACAATATGCCATTATCATTATTTAGACGTACATAAGCACACTCGAATAATCAAATTCTTAGTAACTACATTGCATAACCAATCCATCCAACAAATATCTACGCTTTTAGGCAACATACAAAGTCTGTGCTTTATAGTTGTTATATAAGCGTCCAATATTATTTTGTGCCTTTATTTTGTTATCTTTTCAGGTTTTTCGTTGCTAATGTTTTTATTTGTTTATTAACATAGAAAGAGAATATTATATCGCTTTTTGAAAAATTGGCTCTAGATCTCAATGTTTTACTATTGATCTTTTGCTTAGTTCAAAAAAAAAATCAATTTATTATTTCATAAATTGCCATCATTGTCGCTATCGTTTTTACTATCGTCATTGCTCATTTTTCCTGCCGACGTACAATGCAGGAGACCGACGAATATACGATTTTTATTTCTACGTAGCACGAGTAAAAGTAAGATACAGAGAAAATTCGAATCATGCATTGTGAACATGTTTGGACTGGTTTTCGCAGAATCATTAGTGGATGATTTTTCATAGAATATTTCTATTATGATTCTTAAACCTATTTGTAGGTTAATTAATAACAGGATAGGCATTGAAACTCGCCACGACGCTTGGGGCATTACTTGTAGCAAAAAAAACTGGTATTCTATGCTATTCTAATTATAGTCTGATTGTTACGACTAAATATCCCGAGTCAATATAGAGTTTAAGTGAAAATAAAATCATCTGATTTGCTTTTTTTAAAACTTTAGTCTACATTGATCATTGAAACAGAGGTGTCGTGTTTATTATCGTGCACTTATATTTACGATGTCGTACTATGGTGCATAAAATCAAACGTTTGTATTTTATAAATGCATAAACTTTTTTCCTATGAAGTAAATACAAAATTTAATCCGTGAATATGATAGAATAAGCCTTTTCTGAGCATATTCACGGATTAAATTTTGTATTTATTTCTTAGTAAAGAAGTTTATACATTACATTTTATAAAATACAAACGGTTGATGATGTTAGATTTTATGCACCATATAGAAACTGATTCATTTAGAACATGTTTTGATGAAATTTCTGTAATTTTCAGACTTTCAAACATCAGATTAAACTTCGATTCCGCGATATTCATATTATTCATTTAAACTTGTCTTTGTAAGAATAAAAAAGAATGAATAATAGGATTCATCATTTTGAAATGAACATTTACAGCGAAAATTTTCTAAATGTACTACGTACCTCTTCACAAAGTACTCGTGAAATATTCTAACAGAATCACGCGCTATTTTGTGTTCAGGGATATGATTTAAAATAAAATGTGATTCAACTTTGTGTTCTGCCTTTTCAAATTGTCATGTCATGTGTACGAATTGCCGGAGATAAATGGAAAGAATAAAATTTTCCAACGGAATTTCTTTGACGTTATCTCCCCGTGATAATATTCTATTTCTTTCAGCTATTCTGCTCGTAAATTGTAAAAATTCAAACACGCACTAAGATATTGTTATACAGTGGCTCCCACAAGAAATGGAACACCCGATAAAGATCTAGAATTTTTTTCTCCATCAGGACTAATATAAACAATAAACAAGTATTCATTTTAAACCTCTGGTGTGAATTTGCCAACAGATTGTTTTAACCATTTTTGTGAAATTGAATGATTTAAGTCAAATTTTTCAAATAGTAAATTTCAACCTACAGACCTTTTCTCCTACCTACATACCAAGTCTCATAAAAATTGGCACATTTATTGAGATTTAAGATCCTGAAAGACCGAATTTCTATTAGTAAATAAATAGTCGAATTAATGCTCATAGACCTTCGTGTTGTCAACTGGACCATACTGGACATAGTCCAATACTGCGTCACTGTACATAGTAAAGTGACAACGCTGCCTTCGGGATCTTTAATCTTGAGCCAATTTTGTGGAAAC